AATGCCTAAAAGGTCTGAAACAATGCTTATCTTTCAGTGCACACTTTATGGGGTCCATTCCACTGTTCTTGCATTGCATTACTGGGTTTCTATTCTTCATTTCGTCGACACAGTGGAACCCTTGGCCTGGTTTTTTTATACTGTCTTTATCAGAAAGATTCTAACCGTCCTGATAAGAGTCACAACCACAAGACCCATACAAATCTTTGATGACCCGACATCTGCTGATCACTATGCTCGAAACTGACCAGAGAATGACGTTTTCAGTCACCTATAGAAATTTTGGTTCCACAGCAGTCCTTGTCCCAAAAAGGAGGAACTTTTTCTCTTCATTCTTTCACTGGAAATCATTTACTTCAATTTCTTCGTGTCACTGTAGAAACGGGGATACCCGTTAAACCCCAGTTTATGGTTATTTTCTCCTTTAACGCAATATTGGTTGATACGCTGCGAAATGATGTTGAATATCAGTCTTACAGTATTGCTTAGTCTTTTCAATAGTTTGAACATGTTTTGAATATTTCATTTTTACTATGCACACCGAATTTTAATCCATCAGAAAATAGTGATGAATACTGAACAAGTGGCTGGGAAAACCTCTTTGAGATTTACATGAAACTACATTATGTTACCTTATGAATTCTCAATTAATCTGTACTCCTGTCAAATAACTTTATTCATAAATAAATGTACTTGGGAACCTTCGATCTAAGGGGATTCACAGTTGCGTTTTGGCCACAGAGGAAGCGATCAGGATCCGTCTACGTAATCGCCATTGTTCTTTCCATAACAGTCCTCAAAGAACATTTGGTATTCCAAGGCCATCATCACACACGACGCCGTCACCCGTCTCCTCCGTTCGTTCTAATGACCCAAACCAAAGTGTAGGTATGATGACTAAAGTGTAAAGTGTAAGCAACATTCGGTCATGGAAATGCAATGTGATTTTTTTCTCATTCCGTAATTAATTTGTTGTGCACACTGACCTTTATGATACAAATTACGATGTGTTGTTAGGTGAATGTATCATCAAAATATAGCTTCTTTGGCACTTTTTTTCCTACATTGTGATGATGGTATACTCGAACGATGTATATAATCAATGAACATGTACAATAATTTTTCAATTGGTGTATATATTTTGGAATAGGTCACCGATTATAGATACCGAGTAAGGAGCAAGCGTATCCATCGTTTGATCCCATATTGTATCCAATAATTTGTCATCCCTCATTTGACTGGAAGTTTCTACGGGAACGCAATTACAGTACTCAGTGCCAGAAATTAAATCACGATCCAGTAGCGTATGAAGAGTACATTGCGCTCCCATTCGAACGTCTTTCCGTAGGGGCCAGAGAAGATAATTCCAAGTTATCTACACACGAGGTGAGAAAAATACAGTACAGCTATTTTTTGGCTGCAATATGCAATATATGTGATCAGAAACAGAGCGGTAGTGAATACAATTCTCAACTATGAGGCTATTAAAAAATGGGGAAATGAAGTGAGAAAAGACTTTGTTTGGAAACAAAAGATCACATTTAAAAAGGGATGATATCACTAATACTCATCGGAATGGTCCGTTACTTTTTGCAACTCCCCTGAATGCATGCTATAATGTTATAATTTCCACTCTGTACTAATAACAGTTTGCATTTTACTCTAGGAACTCAATACATAATTCCAACCCGTAGTTTGATGATATTCATTAATTTCGGAGTAAATGAGGCGTTGTTTCAATGGCATTCATGTTGTACTTTAACTCACAGTTATTTGAATTTGAATTAAGGTCAAAGGAAGTCATTGGATGCCTATCACATAGCCATAGTCAGAAGTAACTGAGTTAGCGAATATTCTGCTGTGGTTTACCGTAAGCCACGTACGAATTTCCGAGTGAGTACCTAAATGATCCCTCGCATCATGAGAGCAACGACTAAAAACGTATTTGTCATTCTGTCATTCCCACAGCATACTTCCCGTTATTAAAATGGAACTTAAACATAAGTCAAAATGCTTAGGGCCGAAATTTGCTGTCATTTTTATTGAAGAAGAGCGCGAAAAAATGAACTTTCAAAGAAGCGGTCATAATGATAAAGTTTTACAGATAGCGAATGCACTATATCGACCTGTGACAGCGATCCAATCTCTAATTCTCCCGTGCTTCTCGATCACCCGGTAGGAACCAGGAAGAACAACCAGCTGGTCAAGGGAAAGTATATTGTTCCCTGAAAGTACCGGAGTTTAGCCTGACTACGCTCGAAAGTATCTGAATGCGAAATCGCTTAGCAAGCAAAGGTGTAGCACTGAACTCACGCACTGTGAGTTACTTCACCGGAGGTGGCAGTGACTTAAACAAAGATAAAATACATAACTGAAGAAGCGGTCTCATGATATCAAAGATCCTGGCGGAATCTATGCTATAAACGGAGAAGAATGCACAAGCGAATGCTCCAAGCAACCAATGCTTGCAATCATGCGAAAGCATACATGAGGAGCAGGCAGACCAAAGGTAGTGACAACTCTCGAACATGTTACACTGTCGGTCTCAAGCCACTAGGAAGTGTTTTGCAGCTGTCGAATACTGGGTTGAACGACTTGGAACTATTTCGTTGGCGTTTATTATTGTTGAATGGTTTACTCCAATTGTATTACTTGAACGTCGCAACCCTAAAGTAGTCTATGAGGTGTGTGAAATATAATCCCACAACCCGTCTTGACGTAAACCCCATGGGTTCTTGGTACAGGCAAATAGCTCAAAGCATTGTTGTACCGTTCAGAATCGGTCTTTTTAATGACTTTACCAAAATTCCCCTCTTAAACAGAAGAACTCAGCTGGAACAATTCTAACTGCAATCTGTGGTCGAAACCAGAAACCCAAGAAAATCGGAGGTTACAGAAATCAAATGTGACTCAGTTTATTATGTGTAGGTTTCAAAAGCAACATATTGCTGTATGTTCAAAGGTGCGAAATTTCAATTAAAATTCATTGAATAAGTTAAACTCTAAATGTAATATGCGTCAAGCGTCATTGACGGACACATTTGTTAATGGCATTATTTTGGGTTGCTCGCATCGCGAATATTTAGCTGCCAAACAAATGCTCGAGGAGGTTTTTTTTCAAAGTATAATACACAGAATTGGTTTATAAACTGAGGTGACTTATTATTATTATTATTATTATTATTATTATTATTATTATTATTATTATTATTATTATTAATAGACGGTTTTATATTATTTGATTTTTATGGAACACATGAGTTTGGAATACAACGCTTGGGTTAGCCCCTCTGAATGATCACAGGCATTAGCTACTGGCCTTTTACGTGGGGTTCCACTCTATGTAGAATAGTTAATTCACCACCAGTTAAATTCATTCACGTGTATCATAAACCTCTGCGATGACCAGTAAAGAAAGCAAAGAGATTCCTTTTTAGGTCTTGCCAGCACTGATCACAGGAACTCGTACTGTTGGTGATCTTTTTCTAGTTCTGCATACATTGCTCGTTTTTACATGACTGAGAAAGTTGACATTTGTTAAACTGCGATGTCTGACAGGTCATAGGTTTTACTCCAAATATTTCCGGTAAATTTTGATAAATTAAACATGATGGTAATTTCAACATCATGAGTTTTGTTTGTGACTAGTGTGGTAAAATTTAAAAACTATACCTTTTCTGAAAATGACGCGTATCTTGATAGATCTAACTTTACGATAAATAAATGGTGTATTTTAAAGGGTTTCTCGTGACTACTTATGAGTAATGTGAACTATTTTCAAAAATAAATACAGTACTATAGTGCAGGTTTTTGGAGCAATTCAGCCCACGAAATGCATGCATATATACATGCATACACATATAAATGACTAGACAAAATTTTCCTGGAAGCACACTACCGGTTTCGCGGTTCTTGCGGCTGCCCACGAATGACTACCCAGTAGTCTTTTGTTTTCTCATTTATACACTTGTACACAGGAAATGTTTTTTCGTCACAACAACCTCATTTGCAACACCGGGTAAATTTGTTTGGACACTTCTGTTAGAACCAGTCCATTAAAGAATCCAGATGACGATTCGATGATTTGTAGGTTGGTTAAATGCCACTGACCGCAAAAACCTCCACTTAAGCGCCTTTATTGAATATTTGATAATAAGTAGTGTATGAATAATTGTACAATATATATATATATATATATATATATATATATATATATAT